AAGCTGTTCATGGTAGGCTTTCTCAGCAGAGATGACAGGGGCATATGTGGCCAGAGGGAAGTGGATGCGGGGATAGGGCACCAGGTTGGTCTGGAATTCTGTCAGGTCAACATTCAGGGCTCCATCAAATCTCAGAGAAGCAGTGATGGAGGACACAATCTGACCAATAAAGCGATTAAGATTAGTGTAGGTTGGGCGCTCGATATCGAGGTTTCTACGACAGATGTCATAGATGGCCTCATTGTCTACCATGAAGGCACAATCAGAGTGCTCCAGGGTGGTGTGGGTGGTGAGGATGGAGTTGTAGGGCTCAACTACAGCTGTGGAAACCTGGGGCGCCGGGTAGATGGAGAACTCCAGCTTGGACTTCTTGCCATAATCAACTGAGAGCCGTTCCATGAGCAGGGAGGTGAACCCAGAACCAGTTCCCCCACCAAAGCTGTGGAAAACCAAGAAGCCCTGGAGACCAGTGCACTGGTCGGCCTGTAGGGAAAGAAAAGTATTTTAATGCCAGGAGACTTTCTCTTAGAAAATCTATTTAAACTTCTTTAGATTATGAACCGAACAGATTGATGCAAGCATGAGGAACTGGAAAAACAGACATATACACATAACCTAGGGATCATCTGATTTATAAGTCCAGTTAATATAGCAAGCAGCCTATTCCACATTTTGGTAGGTGCCAAGGAATGAACAATGTCAGTCACTCTACCCAACTTGCACTGGAATTATCTCACTGCACTCTAAATGCATATTTATATATGGTGTTTACCAGTTTACGAATTCGGTCCAACACGAGGTCAATGATCTCCTTGCCAATGGTGTAGTGCCCTCGGGCATAGTTATTGGCAGCATCTTCCTTGCCTGTGATAAGCTGCTCCGGGTGGAAGAGCTGGCGGTAGGTGCCAGTTCGAACTTCATCTGGAGAAGGGAGAGAACGACAGAGGGACTGGGTGAGTGAGCGAGTGACCAGCAGAGCCCCCAGGACAGACCTCCTGTCCCAGCACCCTGGGATCTCACTTGGGTTACTGAGGCCAACTCACCAATGACCGTGGGTTCCAGGTCTACAAACACTGCCCGGGGCACGTGCTTGCCAGCGCCCGTCTCACTGAAGAAGGTGTTGAAGGAGTCATCTCCTCCCCCAATGGTCTTGTCACTGGGCATCTGACCATCGGGCTGGATGCCATGTTCCAGGCAGTAGAGCTCCCAGCAGGCATTGCCAATCTGGACACCAGCCTGGCCAACGTGGATGGAGATGCACTCACGCTATGGGAAGGAAAAAAAGATATCACAAATTAATCTTTTGGTGACTGTCAAGTGAAACAATATACTCATGCAATCTTTATTTTTAGAGATAAGGTCTGTCACTCAGGTTTGAGTGCAGTAGTGCTGTCCAGGTTCACTGCAGCCTCAACCTCCTGAGCTCGTCAACCCCCAACTCCAGCCTCCAGGGCAGCTGGAACCATAGGCACAGGCCACCACGCCTGGCTAATTTTTTCTTTTTTGGTGGAGATGAGGTCTGGTTGTGATACCCAGGCTATCACATAATCTTAAAAAAAAAAAAAAAATTTCCTATTTTAAAGCGACATAAGATGTATCACTCTTTTGAGAACGGCTACATTCTAGGGTCTATATCGCTTTTAATGCATGTTACCTTCCCATTCTAAACCGGGAAGGCGTTCTTCCAGATCATGACAGCTTAGTCACAGCTTCCTCCTTTGGAGGACCAAGACAGGAAGGTGGGCATCCATCCAGCGCTCCGGCCCCAGAATCCCGCTTTAGACTGGGTGGCCACATTTCCGGGCAGGTCCTAGCACAGGAAGCACGTGGCCGGACCAGCGCAGAAGAAATGTCTGGCCGCAGGGACAAGGGGTGGGGCTATGCGGCACAGGATGAATGAGCAATTCAGGGCGCGCGCTCCCGCGCCCCCCGGCGGCGCTGCAGAGGCACGAAATGGCCACGTCTGCAAAGGCGCTGCCCAGGCTGCCCATCCTCCCTTGCCCGCCGGCATCGAGCTCAGCCTAACACCACCACAGCAGTCTGAGCGCAGGAGGGGATTATCGGCGGCCCAGATCTGGGCCAAGATCCGATTTCCGTTCCCTCAAAATCCCTCACTGGCACCACCTGCTTCCCTGAATTCCTAACGCAGCAGGGAGAGACAGGTGGCCTCTAAATGCTGTTGTGAACTAACTGTCCTAATACACTGGTATAGAGCGGTACACTTCCTCACATTCCTTTTACTGCCTTTTTTTTTTTTTGAGATGGAGTCTGGCTCTGTCGCCCAGGCTGGATTGCAGTGGCAAGATCTCTGCTCACAGCAACTTCCACCTCCCAGGTTCAAGCGATTCGCCTGCCTCAGCCTACCGAGTAGCTGGGACTACAGGCGTGCACCACCAAGCCCGGCCAATTTTTGCATTTTTAGTGGAGACAGGCCTTCACCATGTTGGCCAGGCTGATCTCAAACTCCTGACCTCAGGTGGATCCACCGCGCCCGGCCACTCTTACTGCTTCCATTAAAAAAAAAAAAAAAAAAAAGAACCCTTCAGGTCAACAGGAGACACGCCCTGAAGCCCTAGCCGCGCCGCGACCAGCGCGCATGCGCAGATCGCAGTGGCGGTTTCCCGCCCTGGAGCGGCGGGAAGGTAACGGTCGCGCGTGCGCGCTTTTGTCTCCAGCGCCTTCCCACCCCCGCTTTTCACGATCAAGAGGAAGTGAGGGCTAGAAGAGTCCGCGCGCGCGTCCACCCAAGGCGGGGGAAGGGTATGCGCTGGAAAGGACTGCTGGGACTCGAGGTGCCGCGCCCAAGACAGAGTTACGCGCTAAAAGAGAGCTCCGGTTAAGGCGGAGGGCTGAGCCCTCCCATCCCTTCCAGAGTCCGAGAAGAAATCCTGGCGCCCCTCAACCTTTCAGGGCCCCCGCCATCTACAAAGACCGAGGTCTCACGACTCCGGATCTGGCCTCGTCTCGCTTTCCGCCCTCCAAACGGATGGCTCTGGGGCCAGCCGTCCCCGGCCGTATACAGGCCCCCCGCACCCCACCGACTCGCTTATCCCTGCTGCCCTGAAAGCGGCCGGGAGCCGCGCGGCCCACTCACCATAGTGGCTAGGGATTAGGAGGCGAAGGCGACAGGAGCAGACACCGGGTCCCGGTTACCGTCCCCGACAAGCTAAGAGTCGAGGTAAGTAACGCACTGGGGCGGGGCGGGCGCTGGAGCCTCTTAAGTAGTGGCTGCAGAGGGGCGGGCGGGCACAGGCGGTGCGGCGGCCGGGAGCCCCTCCTCCGGCCCGGCGCGCCCACTCGGCGCCCGGCCTGGCCGCCGCAGAGGCGGGCTCCAGTCCCGAGCCCCCTCCCCTCGCGTGGCCGCGGGGCGGGGTCCGCCGCGCCTGCGGGCCGCGCGCGCCAGTGCTGCAGTGTGCGGCGCATGGCTGCGAGAGCCTGGCGGGGGGCGGGCTCGAGTCGGAAAGACACCGACTGGGGAATGGGCGACGAGGCTTGCCTTAATTCAGAGGAAACCTAGGACTTGGGAGAGCCATACAATTTGAAAGATGAGGCAGAAACTGAAATGGAGAAACTTGTGGTTCGGATAGCTCAGCTGATTAATTCATATTGCCACAGTTTGTGAGTTTTGCCTTTTTATTTTCTCAGTTCGTTCTGTACTTACCTGATAATGTGAAAAACACGAGCTTTAGAAAACCGAATAGGTGTACTTGGTTTACTGCAATGACTTGTTCTTGAAAGTAAGGGTACCGAAAGCTGGAAGCAAATAATATTTCAGTCATTCGAAGAATAGTGCCCAAACATTTAACATTGACGCTGTTAAAAGGGCAGAGTAGGCCCGAATTTTGGATCGAGGCCATCAACTTTATGAAACAGTCCTAGGGGCTTTTTGAAAAGGAGATTTAAAAACACATTTCAGAGGTGATAGCTGAGTTAAGGAAGTGAGAAAAAACTTGGAAAGGGAGGAAATAAATGGACACTGAAGGATGTTAGGAAGTAAGGATTCCTTGTGCAACTTAAGAGTTTCGTAAATAAGACTGCTTGGCCTTGTGTCAAGATACATCAATTGGTTATAGCTTAGTGCTTGGGGGCCCACATTATAGGAGTAGACTAGTTCTCCCTCCGCCCCACCCCTGAAAAATCTATTTCAAGACCGTAAACCACATTGCTAATCCTTGGAAATGCAGAAGGTGGTTAGGTTTAAAATGTGGCTTTAAAATGGTCCTAGCAGAAACCTATTGATGTTACTATTCAAAATATCTGCCCAGTATATGGGAAACAGAAAGGTAAAACCTAAAACACTAGAAGTTCATAGTTCATCTTCAGTTATTAGCCTATTGAGATTTGGTAAAGCCTTCATCCTTCATTTCAGACAAATAAATTTATGTGGTTAATAAGTGTGTATTTTGTAATGAGGGGTGTGTGTGTGTGTGTGTGTGTCTCCACCCATCTGAACCTGACCTGCAAACCAGGAGGTTCTTATTTATTTCTGGTAAATATTTTTGGTAGTCTTATTAAAGGCATTTGATTCAAAATCCAAATTTGCACACATTTTTCCAACTGGGTAGAGACGGCAGCAATGTTTGAATATTGAATATTGTTCTCACTTATTTTTTCCTCTTATTCTTTAAAAAAAAATTAAGCCAGTCAAATTTAGAAGTGGACGGTTGTATACCAATTTTAGTGACACTAATGTTAATAAGTTCTGATAACCCACTACCATTGGACCACCCCCAGTGTTACTTATTCTTAAAAGGAGTCTGAAAATAATTAGCTTGCTTTAACTGGAAGAACGAATGTTAGGGAACCACCCTGCTGAACTCCATTTTGCTGTCGGCTCTGGATAAAAGCTATTTTATCCAGAAAAGCTATCTCTGTGCAGAAATTTTGAATAGTTTAGGAACCGAAATAGGTTTCTAGACATTCTGAAGCCACCCTTCTAACCTAACCTCCTTATGTATTTCCAAGGATTAGTGATGTAGTTTATGCTCTTGGAATAGATTTTTCTGGGGGAGGGGAGAACCTCCCTTGTAGCTCTCTGCAGATTATCAGAGTCACCACTGCAGGGATTTGCTCCTGTGGGCCTATATGTCTCCCCAGATACAGTACCTTTCTAAAATTATTAGCATTGTTATCTGTGTATTCCCCTGTAGTGAATGAGGAAGTATTTGAGGGGTTTTTTTGCTTTTGTTTTGTCCTTAATAATACGTCAGTTTTCACAGAATAATCAAACTAAAAGAGAACTTTATTTTTTGACTGAAACTCTGTATCCAAAAAACAAAAACAAACAAACAAAACCATATATTGTTATTCAATATTTGAACAGCTGAACATTTTGTTGTCTTAGGAGTTTGTCCTTGCCGGCATTATTAAACTGCTTCCTTAGCTGTGAGCACCGTATGACTGTGGGTTGTGTCTAGAAAGGAATATGCTTTGCTAGTTTTAATATGGAATTGATTTTGAAATTGTGTTACCCAAGCTCTTTTTTTTTTGATACGGAGTCTCACTCTGTCGCCAGGCTGAAGTGCAGTGGTGTGATCTCGGCTCACTGCAACCTCTGCCTCTTGGGTTCAAGCGATTCTCCTGCCTCAGCCTCCCAAATAGCTGGGACTACAGGCATGTGCCACCATGCCCAGGTAATTTTTGTATTTTTAGTAGAGACAGGGTTTCACCATGTTGGCCAGGATGATCTCGAGCTCTTGACTTTGTGATCTGCCTGCCTTGGCGTCCCAAAGTGCTGGAATTACAGGCATGAGCCATGGTGCCTGGCTTTTTTTTTTTTCCTTTGAGACAGAGTTTCACTCTTGTTGCCCAGGTTGGAGTGCAGTGGAGTGATCTCGGCTCACTGTAACCTCCACCTCCTGGGTTCAAGCCATTCTCATGCCTCAGCCTCCCAAGTAACAGGGATTACAGGCACCCGCTACCATGCCCAGCAAATTTTTGTATTTTTAGCAGAGAGGGGGTTTCTCCATGTTGGCCAGGCTAGTCTTGAACTCAAGTGATCCTCCCGCCTCGGCCTCCCAGAGTGCTGGGGTTACAGGCATGAGCCACCGTGCCTGGCCAAGTTGCCCTAGCTCTTATGTTCCTGTTTCCCTAACATAATACCTCCTCTACTTATGAGAGAACTCCTAATCTTAAGGGGAGAGGAAGGTCATTTTTTGTAACTTCTTCCTGCCGAGAGTAGACATTGATCTCTGGGATAGGATTCTCTCATAAGGATTTGCAGTCAGCTTCATGATGTTCTGATGGTTCTTTTCTTTGTTATTATTTTTTTTTTTTGACAAAGTTTTGCCCTGTTGCCAGGCTAGAGTGCAGTGGCATGGTCTCAGCTCACTGCAGCCTCCACCTCCTTGCAACCTCCACCCCCAGTTTCAAGGGATTTTCCTGCCTCACCCTCCTGAGCAGCTGAGACTACAGGGACACACCGCCATGCCCAGCTAATTTTTTTTTTTTTTTTTTGAGACGGAGTCTTGCTTTGTCACCAGGCTGGAGTACAGTGGCGAAATCTCAGTTCACTGCAACCTCTGCCTCCTGAGTTCAAGTGATTCTTCTGCCTTAGCCTCCCAAGTAGCTGGGACTACAGGCATGTGCCACCACACCCGGATAATTTTTGTATTGTTAGTAGAGATGGGGTTTCACCATGTTGGCCGGGATGGTCTCGATCTCTTGACCTCGTGATCAGCCCACCTCGGCCTCCCAAAGTGCTGGGATTACAGGCATGAGCCACCACGCCCGCCCTAATTTTTGTATTTTTAGTAGAGACAGGGTTTCACCATGTTGGCTGGGATGGTCTTGATCTCTTGACCTCGTGATCCACCTACCTCAGCCTCCCAAAGTGCTAGGATTACAGGTGTGAGCCACCATACCTGGTGATGTTCTGATGATTCTGTGGGCATAACCCTGCCCAGTATTGGAGGAGTAAAAATCTCTGGATGCCTGATCTATGGTACCTGAAGGCAGGATGTCTTTATTTCTCACGTCAGAAGATGGTATGGGTTGGAAGCCTTGTGCCAGCATAACCTTTATGTGGGATTGTTGTAATCTAGTAGAAACAAACTTCACCAAGGTGTTAAACAAGCAAGGGCCAAAGATTAGTAATAACAAGATAGCGATCAAAGGTCCTAGGAAGAGGACAAACCAATTGAGACTCAGGAGGGTGCTTTTTTTTCCTTTTTCTGTTTTTCTGTTTCCCCAGGTGGGGTCTTGCTATATTGCCCAGGCTTGACTGAACTCCTGGTCTCAAGCGATTCTCCTGCCTTGGCCTCCCAAAGTGCTGAGATTACAGGCCTGAGCTACTGAGCCTTGTCTAACCTCTAAATCTCTACTTTTATGGGAGTTTT